AAAAAAAAAAAAAAGACCTGGCAAGTGCTGGTTCTGTCATAAAGCCTAATTGCTTTTGGTATGTTGAAAATAGAGGGATTCAAAGTGGATCTCACTGGGCTGCTGAATATGACAGAGGGACTTTGGGGTGTCACTGTGCCCTGCGGTCACCGGGCCCCTCCTGTTGAGGAGTGGCTGTCTCACCTCATCACCTTGACATAGCAGTGCAGGACCTTTCCTGCTTGTGAGCCTGGTCTTGGTGTGGGGTTTGCTGCCCGGTGTTGGCACCGTCACCCCCGGTGTCACCCCCAGCAGGGCCTGCAGCAGTCGCTGTGCCACCTTCCCTGCCGTGTGATGCTCTTCCCGTGGCACCTTCGCATTTGGCAAATGCCACTTGGCTGGTTTTGTTAGGAAATTCTGACAAGTTTGACAATTTGCCTGTAATTTTGGGGTTTATTTTCCTATTTGGCTATTTGTAAGCGGGTTTTCCCTGTTTTTTGCAGGACAGCAAAGAGCATGAAGGTTTTTTTCCCCTTCCTGATGTTGTGGCACCTGAAAGTGATGAAGATGCCGAGTTCACGCAGGGCCAAATTCAGTCCTGGTGTAAACAGAACCTTTGAAAACAAGGAAGTTTCTCTCTATTGCTCCCCATGCTGTAATTCCTAAGTTAGAGACACCCTGGCGTCAAACCCGGGGGCTGTATCCTGACTTTTTAAGCCCATTGAGGCCAGCGACGTGGGGTTATCATCTCGGGGCGATGCTGCTGATTTGTACAGGGGCACGTCCTGGCCTGTGCAGGCCAGGGGATGTTTTGGGGGGACCTGCCCGTGCTCCCCACCTCCAGTGCCCCATCTCAGACTGTTCCGGTTGTGTTTGCAGACGTTAAGAAAGAAAGGTTTTAACGGCTGTGACAGCCCAGAGCCCGACGGCGACGACTCCATAGACCAGAGCCCCTTGATGGAGGATAAATACCGCAAAGGCAGCGAGGATCTGGATATCCTGTTCAAGCGATACGGTGTAAGTACCTGCCCGTGCCTGGAAAACCTTCATTATATGTTCTTTTCTGTTTTGTTTCTCTTCTGTTCGACTTCCCCTCAACCTCGTCCCCCGCCCCCTCCCCGACACCCCCGTGTCCCCCCACACGTAACAGGCGCTGAACAAGAAGCACAGGGAGTGCGAGAGCCCGGAAGGGGACGAAGTGTTTGCGCTGACCCCGCAGACGGAAGAGAAATATAAAAAGATTGATGAGGAGTTTGATAAAATGATGCAGAGTTACCGGCTCGCAGTGAGTAGCTGGTGGCCTGCAGCCCCCCTGGTCCCCTCCCCGGTGCCTCCAGGTGATGGGGGGGTGGATTTTTGCATGGCTTTGCTTTGGAGCCGTGCCATGCCTTGGGAGCCGATGCCAGCAGCCCCTGCAGCCCTGAATGCACCTGGCTCTTGAGCACCCTTCCTGTTGCCCATCCTTGGAAAGATCATTCCTACTATTCCTGACCCTCCTTGGCTCTGGCCAGGCAGTGCAGGAAGGTATTGCTTGTCTCCTCTACTGCAAGTACTGGATTAGGGACTCCTTTTTCACCCTCTTTTCCTCAAAAAACGAGATTTTTGTCTGGGTTAAGATCCCAGTGTTCATGTGAGCTGGTGGCGGGTGCCGACCTCTCACATCCTTGCAAAGCTCAGCTTGGTTTGGGCTATTCCACATTAATTCCCCCCAAATCCACCGAGCCCTCAGGGCAGCTGGTGGCTGTGGCAGAAATCCAGGGAGGTTTTAGCCTGTGATCCCAGAGCTGTCACTGGCACTGGGGTGGCATCAGGACAGTGCTGAAAGGGATTTGTGTCAGGAGACGGGAGGAGGAGGGGGACACATTTCAAATTAGTTGTTAGTTCAAGGGAGCAGAGACTATTGATGCAGGCAAGGGCTCTTCAGGGGATTAGCCCCGAGTTGCTGCTGTGGTAATTAATGCTGTGGGAGCAGGGGGAGGCTCCTGTCCAGGGGTGGATGCAGCACAGCAAAAATGACACACACAGCCCCGCCCAAAATAATCTGCCCTTCTGTGCTTTGCAAGCCCCCACAAGTTAAAATTCTGGCTTTTGTCGAGAACTGGGCCTTGTGAAATCCCCAGGTTTTGTTTTGCTGACTCAGCGCTGTGTTGCTCCATGAGCCTCGCAAGGATCCCAAAATCTGCGTTTTGATCCCCTAGATCTCAGGGTGGAGTGGGTGGAGAGGCTGCCCTGAGACCTGGGAGGGCTGAGGAGGTGGAGGAAAGTGAGGTGCAGGTGGTGATGATCTCTCGTAGCTGTGCTGTGACGATGAGCTCAGCCCCATGAGGGGGGTTCAGGGCAGGATTAGCTCTGTCAGGACATGGATCTACCTCAGCCTCCCTGGCTTCACTAGGGGGGTGCAGGTTCCCACCCTACCAGGGTGTGTGAGGTGGGAGTAGAGCCCCAGCAGGACATGCACCCCCACCACCACCTGGCACAAGCCCTGCCACTGATGGAAAATAGGCTGAAAAGCCACCTGAGCTTTGTCCTTAGAGCAGAACATCCTCGTGAGCAGGGACTGCTCAGCATCAGAATGTGTCTGCTGCGAAGGGAGGGCCCCGAGTAGGCCCCCATCATCCAGACATGCCAGCCCAAAGGGACAGTCTGTGCCCAGAAGTCCTTTCAGCAGGTGACATTCAAGTGCCGGGTGGCTCCTCATCAGGGCACAGCATCTGGCTCCCCCACTAAACCTCCCTGGCAGCGAGGGGCCGAGCAGTGCAGGTGGAGCGTGTGTGGTTGAAGAAGACGCTTTTCCATTTTAACGCTGGGTTGGTTTTGTGTGTGACAAGAACTAACCCAGCGGCGTGGCCGGGGCAGCTTAACGACAGCCGCGTCTGCTAACGAGGGACCTCGGTGGGGCTGCTGCCTCTGGTGTTTGCCCTCACTTCTAACAAGAGCAGAAATCGTGGATTTTGGCTGATGTGTGCATCTTCTCCCCCAGACTTTGGAGCGATGTGCAGAGCGCCATCGTGCCCTCTCTGGGGCTGGGTGTCCCGGGTGTGCCGGGGTGGTGGCAGCCTGCCTGCTGCCTGCCTGCAGGGGCAGGGGGTGCAGCTGGATTGAGGCAAACCTCGGCTGCTGGGCTGGTGTATCCAGCTCACAGCTCTGCCACGGCGCTGCTCGTGCCATGGCGTGGAGGAGCTTCAGCTCTTCTCTCCCTCCCTGGGAACGCCGCGCGCACATGGGCGCGTTGGCAGTGATGTATTACACAACGCTGCTCCGGCGTTCGTGCAACGCCCAAGAAACCTTCCTCCTCCTCCTCCTCCTCCTCCTCCTCCTCCTCCTCCTCCTCCTGTGATTCTGCTGCCGTGCAGGATGAGCTCCCGGGCTGAGCAGAGGCAGGGCTCCGTGTTCCAGCTCTCCCTGGTGCTGTAGGAGCTGCTGCGGCCGTCCCTGCGAGCGGCAGCCCCAGGAGCGGTGCCACGGCCTCGCGGCCTGGCTGCGGCCGTGGGACAGCTCTGGAGGACAGGATGCCCTTGGGAGGCAGGTGGGGAGAGCTCCTGGCAGTGAGGCGTGGGTGAGCACTGTCCTACTCCTCCCTGCCATCCCCGTCTCACCTAAGGAGCAGGACCTATACAGGAGCAGATTTTTGGAGGAGAGAGGGCTGCAGGGCAGCGGGGACATGCACCAGCTGCAGTGGGGAGACCTCGGCTCCCTCTTCCCTCGCTGGTGCAGCTTGTGGGGTCCCACCTCTGGCCCCGTGATGGTCCCATTCAGAGCTGGGCAACTCTCCCTCTCCATCCCAGAGCAAATTAAAGTGGGACTTAAGCAAAGCCCGTGCTAAAGCCTCTAAGCAGGTGCCAGCTCCTGTTAACGAAGAGCAAATCAGTGACATAAACGGCTGGGATAATCGCAGCGGGTCTGGCTCCCACGGGACGCTGGTAGGTGAAGCTGGTCCTCAACCTGCAGCCAAGGATAGGGCTTCAGTGATGCTCCTGCATCCCTGGGGTCAGCTCGTCCTTCCCAGCAGCTCCCAGAGGAGACAGGATGGATCCCAGAGTCACCCAGGGGCTCTGTGGAGCAAAACTAGTCTTTCCCAGTGCCAGCCCAGAATGGGGATCCACTGCTGGATTCCTGCTGGCTGAAGAACGACCTCATGGAATCCTGCCTGGGGTGAAGGGCAGTGCCAAGCTTGGCTGCTGTCGGTGCTGGTGGGGGCAGACCACCAGGCTGGTGCCCACCTTCATGCTGAGGGCTGCTCCCAGGCTCTCCTTCATGCCTGCCCTGAAAGCACAGGGGGTAAATAAATACAGCCTGAAAAAAGAGGCCAAAACAGTTGTTTGCAGAGCTTGGGTGTGTCCGAGAGGATGGCCCATTGCTCTTCCTGGTGTTCCCTGGTGGGGAACTGGGCTCTGGTGCATCCCCTGCAAGGTGCCAGTGTGGGTTTGAGCACAGCACTGCAGGTCAGCAGTGGAGGTTTGAGGAGCCTGACTGTCTCCCCTTGGTCAGCAGCTGTGCTGTGCTGCAGGAACTCGGCTCCCCTTTACCCCTGCCCTCTGTTCAGTCCACAGTGCCCGCTCCGAACTTCGCCATGCCCGTGACGGTGCCGGTGACCAACCAGAACACGCTGCAGTTCAGCAACCCGGGCAGCTCGCTGGTGACCCAGTCCCTGGTGACCTCCTCGCTGACAGACCCCCGGCTCCTGTCGCCGCAGCAGCCGGCCCTGCAGAGGAACACGGTGTCCCCAGGGCTGCCACAGCGGCCAGCCAGTGCAGGTGAGCCTCACTCGCACCCTCACCTCACCCCTCCTGCCTGGCTGGGCTTGCAGCACCGAGCGTGGGGCATCCCCGCAGGAGGGGACAGCCCTGCTGCTTCCATCCCCTGTCCAGGAGGAGTCCACATTCTAGCAGTGTGGGTGGCAGAAGCAGCCTGGAAGGGTTGTTGCCCCTCTGTGTGCTCCTGCCAGCCGTTGATGCCCTGTTTGTGCCGTGGCCCCAAGCTGAGGGCTGCCTCCGCACCTTACCTGGGTCTCTTTGAGAGCTGGATCCCTGCAGGGATCTGTTTTGGGTTGGGCAGTGCAGGATGAGTCACCTGGCGCCTCTCCCGGGCTCGGGGGTGGTGCTGGCATCCTGCTCGCCGGTGGCACTGCGGTGACATGGGTCTGGCTGCCTAAAAAGGGCTGTTCTCAGTCGGGCCATGCTGGTTGCACTTGGCTGTGGGCGATTACTCATGTGGCTCTGCTGACAGATCTGAGGAGCAGCCATTTCCAGCAGGGACCGGCGATGGGTGGCACAGGACAGGGTGGGGGAGAGGACTTGTCACCCACGTCCCCTGCAGTGGCAGGGGGGACAGGGATGACGTGTGACCACGGCCCGGCTCTCCCATAGTATGATCATAAATAATAATATTTCTGCTATTTTGGATGGCACAGATGGTCTGTAAAAGTCACCCGGGCTGCAAATGGCAGAGCTGGTGCCAGTCACCACCCGGACGTCTGGGTCCTCAGCTGTGGCCCCTGGGGCTTTGAGAGCTCCAGGGAGCTTTGCAAAGAGGATGGATTTGGAGAGATTGCTCCAGATTTGGAGAGATTTGGATGGATTTGGGAGGTGCTTCCGGAAGCAGGTTGTGTGAGCAGGAGGAATGGCCTGGCTGGGATGCAGCAGGAGCTGTGGTTCAGACACAGCTTGCTTGCTTACTGCTCTCACCAAGGTGCCTCGGAGTATTGGGATGAGGCCCCAGACCTGCAGGAGAGGGGTCATTCTGCCCTAGACTGGTCCCAGGGAGCAGCATCTGACTGCAGGCAGGATGGCAGAGCCCTCCTCGGGCACAGGCAGCCATCGCTGCAGCTGCAGGGATCTCCTGCCCTCTCGCAGGCCCCTCAGCTGAGCGCAGAAGAGGCTTCCTGGTAAAGCAGACCCCTCTGGGGGCTCGCTGCTTCCAGCTCACTCCCGCTCGTTTGAGGGGGATCATTTTGCGGTTGTGAGCGCAGAGGTGTTCCAAGTCCAGCCATCTGTGTCTCATTCGCTCGCTGCCTGGGACACGGAAGAAACCCTGTTTATAGGAGCCAGGGCCTTGCATGTTAAAAAAACTCTTTTTTTTTTTCCCTAAATTTTTTTTTAGCATTGCACCAGAGCTGGTTGTGTTGTTTCCAAAGCAAATGCACAGCGTGCGCTGGGTGGGTACCTTGACGGTGCCTGGTGCTGCTGGCTCGGGGATGGTGTGGGAGAAGGGCAGCCAAGGGGGGTGTAGGGGCTGGGGTGGGGTTGGCATCACTCACCCAAGGAGGTGGGCCCTCTTTGGCAGCATTGTGGTGCACGTGGAGTCCCACAGCAGGGCACAGCCACAAAACCCTGGTGGAGTCCCTTCTCTGTGGCTTCGGAGGCACAGGGACCTCTGGCTTTGCATCCCCATCCCTTGAGCAGGGTGCTGCAGTGTCACATTCGTCACATCTAGTGAGTCATTTCACCCTTTCTCAGACTGTACCATTTTTTGGGACCAATCCTGCTCCCATATGGGGAGCAACTGTGCTTCCCTGCACGGCTCAGCCCTCCCACCCTCCTCCAGCCTTCAGGGGCTCGCTGCAAGCCCAAAGCCAAGAGCCACTGGATAAAGATTCGTGTCTCAGGTTTCCCCATCTGGGTTGAGAAGGGCTGGGCAGGGCTTAGAGGTGGGGTTTGGCACCGAGAGCCCCTTGTTGGCCAGCCAGGGCTCCGGGTTGACTGCGGTCGCAGCTCCGGAGCCTCCGCGCCGGCTCTTGGCTGCAGTCGCCGCCCGCGGCGTGGTCAGGCAGCCCCGGCTGGGGAATAGGTGGCTTTCAGAAATAACTTCATAACAAGGCAGAAGAAAGATCAAGTCTTCTTCCAGGCGAGGCAAAACGTTCTGGTTTTTGGGAATAAAAAGGTCTAGTTTCTCCCAGCCTGGTGGGGAGCATCAGCGCTTTGCTGGAGTGTGGGGACCACGGGAGTCGGGATCGCTGTGGCATCCTGGCAGTGTGGGATGGTTTCCACTCGGTGTGAGCATTACAGGGGGGATTTTGTTTCCTGTCATGCTGCTGGGGCTCTCTCTCCCCCAGCAGCACCAGCTCCGTGTCCCCCAAAGGGGGGCTTGGAATAAAATAGCTGCAGTGTTTTCCAAGCTGCCTCCTTTGGAACAGGCTCCTGTGCACCTGGCTCCTTCCCAAAGGAAACGGATCTGCCTGGATAACGTTTCCCAACCTGATCACCAGGAATGTTGCTCATTTTGCCCAGGACTTTCTTCCCAGGAAGGCAGTCCCGCTTTTTTTTCCTCTGCCTTCTTCCACCGTGCCCCCTGCTCCCCAAAAAGCAGGATGTTCACCCAGTTCCTGCTCTGATGCTGATCCCAGCTGTGCTCTTGCTTTCCAGGGGCGATGCTTGGGGGAGACCTGAACAACACGAACGGAGCCTGCCCCAGCCCCGTGGGTGAGTAAGGAGCCTTTCAGCCCCGTGCCCCTGGCTCCATGTGACACTCCTGCCCTCAGTTTCCCCACATGTCCCATGGGGTTTTGCTTTGCTGTTGGGCCCTGCTGGTCCATAGGGAAGCCCTGGGGAGGATTTTGCTGCTCTTGGCAGTGGGAGGAGCTGGCATGTGGAGCTCCAGGCCAGTGCCTTTGCTGTGGGAGCTACTTTCAGTGGAGACCCCAGTGACCAAGGACTCTCCATCTACCCAGGATTCTGGGGAGAGCTGGAGAGCAGGGAGGTGACTCCCGGAGACTGGGATTTGGGTAGCTCTGGTTTCAGCTCCTGGTGCTGCAGCCAATTCTCCACCTCCCTCGGGTGATCAGTTAACACCCAGTTCCTCCTCGTGCTTGGGCCCTATAAAGAAACTTTACTGCAAGGAAAAAAAGCTCATTAAGAGCCTTTTCCACTGTGAGAGCCTCAGTGCTAATGAGGCTCAGGTCTCATGGCTCAGCTCCTTAGCTGCAAAATGCACTGACAGTATCTCCATCCCCACGTCTGCCTCTGCCATCTGCAGGCTGAAGATGTTGGGCCACTGCTGGTGTAGGCACAGCTCAAAAACCAGCAACGGCCCTGGGTACTGCTGGGAAGCAGCTGCTGCTGTTGGCACTGGGCTTGGCAGTGGTCCCAGGCTTGGCAGGATAGATGCCATCCATCCCAGGGCAAAGGCAGCCTTGCTCCTGAGCCTGGCTCCTCATCCCTTCTGGGCCTTTTTGCAGGAGGTGTCCAGCCGACAGCACGGAGGAGGAATGTGGAATTCCACATTGCCCCAGTTAAAACCAAACTGGAGCCAGGTCCCACTGGTTTTTGGGTGGGGTTGGTCCAGTTGTGGTTCTGCAGCGCCGTGGTCACCCAACTCCATCCCCTACACTGTGGCTACTGCCAGGAATGGCCATGTCCCTGTGCTGGGCAGGATTTCTTGGCAGAGCAAACCCTGCCAGGGTGGTTTGTGGGCCGGTGTCTCCCGGGGTTCTCACAGCCCCCAGCACGGAGCTTTGCTGATCCTCGAGGGCAGAGGGAAGGGGCCACGGCCCCCGGGAGCTGCACGGCCCCGTCCCCCGCAGCCGCCCCCATGTCAGCTGTTGGGAGCAGCCACGGCGGGCGCAGAGCTTGGCAGGGCCCGTGAATGTCAGCATTGACGTCACCGAAGCATTCCCTGCGTTCCTGCTGCCACTGCAGGAAATGGGTGTGAGGAGCAGGGGCAGCCCGGCTGTGGCCAGCCCCGGACCCCTGCTGCCCCCAGACCCCCGCCCTCCCCGGGGCTCCCCTCGTGCCTCTGGGAGGGGACTGTGGCTCTGGCTTCGGCTCTGGCGCTGCGCTTGCAGTTTTCAAATACCTGCTACGTTCTTCCTCCTCCTCCTCCTCCTCCTTCTCCTCCCTTGCAGTCTCTGCAGCACTGAGTGATCACCTGCTGCCTCTGAGTCATCAGCTGCGGGTGCCTCTGGCCGGATCCTGCAGTGACGGCGCTGTATCCCTGCACCCTGCCCACGCTCCGTGGCATGTGCCACCCTCGGGATGCAGCACCCCGTCCGCCCCGCCTGGCCCGTGGGGGGATGCTGAGCCCTGACTGCCCCCGCTCAGACTCACACTAGGGTGGTGCAAAGGCAGGCCAGAGTGCTCCTCTTTTAGACTCCTTTTGTGGTGGGGGCCCTTGGTTGGGAAGTCCTGGTGGGAGTGTAGCCCTTCTCTCTCTGGCTCACAGGGCTGGCCGGATCCATGCTGGGTGGACATGGCAATGACAGCAGCAGTGACAGCCCAAGGCCACCCATCTTTGGGGGTGAGTGGCAGCACTGGAACCCAAACCAGCTCCTCTCCAGCACAGGGAGCCACCCCAACCCACACCCCAGGTGACACAGAGATAACGTGGTGTGCCTCAGTCAGGGAGTCACCATGGGAGCCCCATGTGCATCCATGCCGGTGGTGCCTTGGGAAGGAGAATATCAAGGGGTTTAACGTTTCTTTTGGCTTTTCCATGGCCACCAGCACTGCAGGTAGCCATGGTCACCTGAGGAATTTCTGCACCTTCTTTGTTACTAAATCTAAAAGTGCCCCTGTGAGCAGGATTCCAGCAGTTCACAGTGCACAGAGGTGCCAGGGCCTGATGCACCAGGCACATGCCTTATGCATGGCTGCTCACGGTGATTTGGGACTGGGAGGACACCTCACTGGGGACAGGAAGGCCGCTCCTCTCCCTCCATCAGGGACACGGATGCCATGGTTGCCAGCCTGCAGCAGCCCGGCCACCGTGGGTGTCACTGATGGCAGCTCCCAGGCACCCACTGGGGCAACACCTCCTGCCCCTGGTGCCATCTCTGGACCAGAGCTGTGGCTCTGGGCAGTGTCACCACCCCCTGTGCCCGGTCCAGCCCGTCCCTGGTGCCATCCCTGGACCAGAGCTGTGGCTCTGGGCAGCAGCACCACCTCCTGTGCCTGTTCCAGCCCATCCCTGGTGCCATCTCTGGACCAGAGCTGTGGCTCTGGGCAGCAGCACCACCTCCTGTGCCTGTTCCAGCATGTCCCTGGTGCCATCTCTGGGACCAGAGCTGTGGCTCTGGGCAGTGTCACCACCCCCTGTGCCCGTTCCAGCCCGTCCCTGGTGCCATCCCTGGACCAGAGCTGCAACTCTGGGCACCATCACCACCCCCTGTGCCCGTTCCAGCCCGTCCCTGGTGCCATCCCTGGACCAGAGCTGTGGCTCTGGGCAGTGTCACACCCCCTGTGCCCGTTCCAGCCCGTGCCCGCTGTGTCCAGCCCGGGACAGCTCCGGAGGGGCAGGGCTGGCGCTCAGCCCCCACACGCTGCGGCTGCGGCGTCGCTGCCACCAGCCGCCTGCTGAAATGCAGATGCAGCGCAATGGTAGATGTGATTAATAATGCAATCAGCGACCTATTTTTCCCGGTCTAACGTGCAATGAATATGAGGGCTGAATCCTGGTGATTGCTGAACGCCTTTCTATCTTTGGGGCCTATTCATGAAAAAAAAAACCAGCCCTCATCAGAACAGTAATCTGATCCAATTTATTCCTTTCCTGATGTTCATCAAATCTTTTCCTTTTAATTTTTTTTCTTCCTTTCCTTTCTTCTTTTTTTTTCCCCTCTCTTTGCACATAAAATCCTTAAGTGGGGCAGCAGGAGGAGGAGAAGGAGGGAACCTTAGATCTTCAAAGGGGCAGTGGGAGCAGTGAACTGAGTCTTCACTCGGCCACAGCCCCTTTTCACTGCCCCAGTACCATGAAGAGACCTTAAAAGTGAATGTGCCAGTAATGACCCATCTTGGCAGGGCTGTGGTGCCCAGCCAAAGCGGGGAGCGAGCCTGGCTGCACATCAGGCTCTGAGATCTGCTGGGTGTTACTGCAGGAACAAGGGGGAGTCCCTGCAGGTTGAGGAGCTGCCCTAAGCACTGTGGGCTCGGGGCTACTGCCTGTCCTGGCTTCACCCCGCAGGAGGAACCTGCCGGGGTGCACTGGGGTTTTGGGGAGCCTGGGGGGACGCAGTGCTGCTCTCCCACACAAAGGAGCACTCGGGGAGCCCCAGTGCAGCACCACTCACTGTGCATACGTTTACCACAGCTGTGCATTCACCACTGCAGTGTGTTCATCACCATTGCCCCGTGTTCGCCATCACCGCGCGTTCACCACCCTCGCCGTGCCTTCACCTCCTTCCTCTCTGCCACCCGTGTTCCTGCAGGCAACGGCTACGTCAGCGCCCGAGCCTCCCCGGGTCTCCTTCCCGTGTCCAACGGCAGCAGCCTGGGCAAGATCATCCCGGCCAAGTCGCCGCCGCCGCCCGCGCACGGCGCGCAGCTGGCCGCCAACAGCCGCAAGCCGGACCTGCGTGTCATCACCTCGCAGAGCGGCAAGGGGCTGATGCACCACCTGGTGAGTGCCACAGCCCTGCCGGGCGCCAGCCGGGCGGGAGGGCTCCTGTGCCAGCGGGCAGGCCGCAGGGGAGCTCGCTCTGTGGTGGTGGGAGCTGGCCTGGAGGGGAGATCCGAGGAGGAAGGCTTGGGTTCCTGCCTGCAGCATCCTCGGCGGTGCAAATGCTGTAGGAGACTGTTTGTGCCCCATGGATGGTGCAAACCCTGTGGGAAGCACCACTCTGACCTGGTTGTGCCCCATGGACAGGGCAAACCCTGTGTCAGGCACCATTCTGACCTGTTCGTGCCCCATGCATGATGCAAACACTGTAGGAGGTTTTTTGTACCCCATGGCTGGTGCAAACCCTGTGTCAGGCACCATTTGGACCTGTTTGTGCCTCATGGACAAGGCAAACCCTGTTTTAGGCACCACTCTGACCTGTTTGTGCCCCATGCATGGTGCAAACACTGTAGGAGGCTTTTTGTACCCCATGGCTGGTGCAAACCCTGTTTTGGGCACCACTCTTCTCTGTTTGTGCCCCATGGCTGGTGCAAACCCTGTTTTGGGCACCACTCTTCTCTGTTTGTTCCCCATGGCTGGTGCAAACCCTGTTTTGGGCACCACTCTTCTCTGTTTGTGCCCCGTGGGAGCGAGGGCATGGTGCCAGCGGGCGCAGTCGGGTGGGGTTGGGGTGCTGGTGTTAACGGTGCCTCTCGGTTCTCTCCCTGTACTCCCCGGACAGACCGAGGACCACTTGGCTCTGGTGAGTTCCCCTCTGAGTGTGCATGGCGTGTGCTGGGACGTGGGCTGGTCCTGCCCTGGCGTGGCGAGGCGTGGGGCACGCAGAGGGGTGGGCACCGGCTCCCTGTGTTGGGCATGCGGCGGGATGTGGGCACCAGCGTTACGTCCCATCCTGCTGCAGAAAATAAATCCCGAGAAAAACACGGTTTTAGGAAAACCGAGCTCCCCTGTGGAAAAGGAGGAGCTGGCATGAGCTGCTAAGTGCCTGTTTCTCCACCAAGGCCAAAATTGCTGTGTCGGTCCCCCTGGGGAGGTCAGCCAGGGTCCCTTTGGGGACTGTGGAGCTGAGCTGGGCACTGCCACTGCCCTGGACCTGCCCGTGGGGCTTCGCTGGAGCCACCACAGCTACAGCACAGGGAGACCTGGCCCACTGCCAGCACATGAGAGACAGGGAGTAAATCAGGCTCTTCCCATATTAAAGATATTATTTAAAGCCTGTGTAAATCCACTGGCTGGCTAGTACCCTCCCTAAACGCCCCTTGTGCACAGGGCAGTTTGCTGTGTTATTTTTATGGCTTTTTTCCCTCTCCCTGCCAGCAAAGTGAATGCCACCTTGTTTGTGGCAAGGATTCACTCCGCTCTGCTGCTATTCTGGTGCAGGCAGATGGGCGACAGGTCAGCTCAGCAAGGGAAGGACAAGAGCTGCTGCGGGATGCGGGTCACGCAGCCAGGGAGAAGCTCTCCAAAAACACAGGAGAAGGCCAAACCCTCTGGCAGCCTGCACCAAGACACTCTTGGCCAGGGCAAGGATGGGCCAGAGCTTTGGCAGACATTAATTCTGCTGCTCTTCGTGTCCCCAAGCCCTTCTTGCTTAGTGGCCCCCTTCCAGCATCTGTGTGCCTCAGTTTCCCCATGTGTGGAGGGGGAGCAGTCACTCCCCACCTCCCCATCTGCTCTTTCCTGATCCCTCTGCCCGGGGCATTCCCTGGATACACACTGAAGGAGCATTAGGTGAAAATCCACTGGGGTGGCATTTGCAGTTTTAATTGCTGGTCTGAATTAACCTGGTGGGTTTTTACCTGAAGTGAAAAATGTCCTCACCCCAGCCAAGGTGGCAGCAGTGGGGTGGAGGGTGGTGGAATGTGGGCAGGGTGGGACAGGGACCTTGGCACTGCTGGATCAGGAAGGGCACTGCGGAGTGCTGTCCCTGCGGATCCCTCCTGCCTGGTGCAGATCCCCCTGCTCTGCTAACCTTCTCCCCAGATTTGCTCCCTCCATATTGCTCAACCTACACACCAGATCCTCTCTCCAAATGGCAGCTCCCACCTCTTTCCAGGCAGCTGTGAGATGAGTCAGAATCCCTCTGCTGCGTCCCCAGTGCCCGCAGCCCCAGCCCTGCCACCTCGGCGCTGCTCCTGCAGCTCTGAGTGTTCTCTCCTCCCTCTGAGGGTTCAGGGAGATGTCCCCCCATCACCCTGCTGACACTCCAGGGGCAGCAGGGTCCATTCACTGCGTCCCTTCCCAGGGAGCATGCTGCATGGTGTGTTTCCAGCTGGAATGGCAGTGTTGTCTGTGGGCACGATGTGAGTGGCACGATGTGGGGGGCAGCTTGCACACCTCCTCCCTGCATGGATTGTGGTGAAAATCGGGCTGCTTTCCCCAGCACAGCTGGGGCTGACCTCCCCACACTCACCTTGTGGCACCAAGGAGGTTCCTGGGGGTGGCACACCGTGCCCAGCTGGTGTCCCACCAGCCCAGCCCTGTGGCACGGCCACGCTTGTCCTGTGCCCTCCCAGGGAAGCCACAGAGCCCTGGCGAGAGGGGCAGAAGGGATGGGGCTGTGGGGCTGCATCCCACTGGGCTGGCTCAGGGTCTCGTGCAGGCAGGCAGGGACGGGGCTGTGCCTTCGTGAGCACATTCCTTGCCATGTCCCTAACCCCGGGCACGGCCAAGGGTGGCTGCCAGCAGGATGTGTGCCAGGAAAACCCACCCCTGCAGCCCCCCACAGCTTTGGCAATCAGAGCCCTGCTAATCTCCTTCTCCAGGCCACAGGAGGCACCTGGGGCTGGGCACTGTGTGGGCGCAGGGTGAGCAAATCCTGCACAGCCAGGTGCTGTTACCCTCTGCAGGTGGCCAGGGCAGGGTTTTAGCCTCCAGCCTTGTCCCAGGAGAGTCTCCCTGGCCGTGGGGAAGCATTGCAGAGTCTGTGCCCAGCCCTGCAAGGCCCTGGGAGCCCTCAGTCCCACAGGAAGGCTGCTCACTGTGCCCCTGCCAGCCTCGTGCCAGGCGTGATTTAAGCTGGGCACTGCCCCAGTCTTCACAGGGTGACGTGTGCTGGGGTGCTTCGGATTAGAGTCAAGCCTCTTGAGTCTGATTTAAATCAGATCAGCAGAGACAGCCCAGATTATCTGCCTTGTAAACAGGGCTGAACCTGACCTGTAGATCTGCCCACATAACTGCCTGGAAACCCATGGGGGGAGGTTGCTGTGCCCCTGTCCAAGGGCAGAATTTTTCCCCAGTGGACCTGCTAATACCTGAGTCACCAAAACTTGTGAGGACACCAAGCCAGCAGGCTGCTGGGCACTGGACTTTGAGTTTAGGGATTCCAGAGTGCCTTTCAAATCCTGAGGCCAGTGCTTAGCACCCTCAGCTTCCCTTGAGGCACGGGCTTGTTCTTGGCCACCAGAGCTGCATGGAGGAGATGCAGGCTCTGTGCTGCCTCGGCCAGTCTTAGGTTGCTTTGGTCTCTTTGTCACTCCTTGGAAGCTCAGCAAGGCTCACGTGCAACCTCTGGGAAGCAGTGAGGAATTGTCTGAGGCCTCGTGCACACAGGGGCATGGCTGGTGCTGTTGGCTGCAGCCCAGCCCTGGGCAGGAGGGGGACTCAAGGCTGTGACCTGCAGATGAGTGTCACAAGGTCCAGGGTGTCAGGAGCTGGTGTGGTTTGTACTTTGCTCATCTGCAGTGTGGAATGGCCAGAGGATCAATCCTGCCTGTCCCACGTCTCCATGCTCAGCTCCAGTGCATGCCCAGGGGGTCTGGGGGGAGCCACCTCCCACAGAAACGACTGAGTTCATCAGTCTGGGCTTTAACTCCCTCCCTGTTTGCTCCCACAGCAAAACACACAGCGGCTGGGTGTCTCTCAAGCAACTCACTCTCTGACCACACCAGTTGTTTCCGT